CTGCTGACAGCCACAGCCCAGGAAAACTCGCTATTTTCTTCATTGGGGCTTGCTCAAAGTGACTGTTTTTGCGGGTTCCTGCCCCATTTCAATTCCTGGCCCTGGGTGCCAGCCTGTCCCCATGCTGTGGCCAGGGCTGCCCTGGGCGCTTTGCGTGGGGCTGAGGATTCGGGCACCTCCAGCCTTGTCAGGGCAATGTGAAATAAAGCATCCAAGTCCTGCAGAGAGATGATAGAAGGGGACAATGTGACTAAAGGCATAAAGAGAGCAGAGCAGATCTGTTCCTCTTGCCAGCTCTGTTAAAATTATCACAGTGTGCCCCGTGGGCTTTTGTATCTGAAGGGAAAAGCTGTGGAGAAGTTTTGCCTGCAGGAGTTCTTATCAGCATCACCCATCCAGGGGCACTGATGGTGATCTTGAATTTAAAGGACTGAAGTTGCTGCAGCCCGCCCTGGCTCTGACCATGCTTACCAGCCGCAGCAGGAGGACAATTACGTGGTGATGGGAGACAAAGTCACCTCTGCTTGGAAACTGCTGCTCCTCCACCTTCAGGATGGGGTCTGCTGCCAGGGTGGGAGGACAGGGGCTGTGTAGATGGGTTGGATTAGTGAGTTCTCGTCTGGGGTCAGAAGTGACTTCAGGTTGACTTTGGCCTCCTCACAGTCTCTTCTCATGGAGACCCTTATTGCAGCTGCCATGCACTGGAAGTTATGTCTCGTTTCCATCTAGGAAGATGCACAGTGCTCTTTTTTATGGGGTTTTCCTTCCCTTCTTGCTATTCCTTAATGCCGTGGTGGCCTCAGGCAGCCCTGGCACAGCTGATGCTGCCCCAGGCTGCCCACGGCTGTCGTTTTCTTGTGTGCTGCTGCTTCGTGTGGCCGTGGGGCAGGTGACTCATGAAGCTGTGTTTCCCCAGGTGATGAAGACCTACCACATGTATCACGCAGAAAGCATCAGCGCCGAGAGCAAGCTGAAGGAGGCAGAGAAGCAGGAGGAGAAGCAGTTCAACAAGTCAGGGGACATCAGCGTCAACCTGCTGCGGCACGAGGACAGGCCTCAGCGGCGCAGCTCGGTCAAGAAGATTGAGAAGATGAAGGAGAAGGTGGGTGGGAGGGAAGGGGGAAGCCAGGCTGCGTCGGGGCCCTCCTGGGCAGGAGGGGCTGGTTCTGGCCCTGTCCATGTCCATGCAGCTGTTTCTGTATCCCTGGAAAGGGCTATGGAGGATGCACGCTTGTGTATGTTTTGGGAAGGGGCTATGGAGGATGTCCTCTCGTGTGTGTGTGTGTTTCGGGAAGGGCAGTCTGAGGAGACCATACTGAGTCTCTTGACCGCTTTCTGGCTGTGCAGAAGTCCCAAAACCAGCTGGCAGTGTGGATGTTGCCCGTGTCATGTCATGTTGTTCTTGTCTTATTTCTGAAAACAGCACTTTTGACAATGAACAATGACTGTCCCAGAGTTCCTTCAGTCAGGGGCTTGGGAGGGCAGAAAATGGTTGGCTGTATAAAATCAACAGCATTTCTTCCTCTGCAGCCTGCCCAGGAGTTGCAGTGCTGCATTCAGCCGGCTTTGCTGGTCAAAATGCGTAACTCCATTCCAGCTTCCGCAGCTCTCCCAGATCTCACCATCTCCAACACTGTTTAATTTTTCTGTTAATTTCTGAGGATTAGCGATAGCTGCCCCAGCCAGGAAGCTTTCGCCTGCATGCTGACCCAGTGCCAGGACAGTGCGTAGTGGTGAGCCTCTCGGGAGGGTGAATCTTTCGTGCTAAACCTACAGAGCAGTGATCTGCCTGAGCAGATGCCCCAGGTCCGAGCACATCTGCTGTCCTACAGAGTTCTGAATTCTGGGTCCTGTCCTGAATTCTGTAGCTCGGGCCTCTGGGCCAATGTCCACTTTGATACAGCTGCATGAATCTGGAGGAAGTCCAAACGTATGTCAGTGCATCTGGGAGGAAAGTTTGGCCCCCTGATTCTGATGGATGCCAAAACCCCGCTGAGTGCCCAGATGCAGGCAGAGCAGCTGTGCCGGGTGCATCTGGGCAGGACGCACTCACTGTGTGCTGCTGTTGGTGCCAGGGCTGCTCAGTGTGATCCCAGTGTGATCCCCTCCAGCTTGGCAACAGTGCCTGTTCGCACACCTGACACCAAATTTGTTAATGAGCACATCATGCCCTGGGCTGCAGGGTGCTGTGGGGCCCTGCAGCAAGAGGAGCTGTGAGCGCAGCATCCCGGTTGTGCTCTGACGCTCTGTTTTGCTTTTCCAGAGACAAGCCAAATACTCTGAAAACAAGCTGAAGTGTACTAAAGCCAGGAATGACTATCTGCTAAACGCCGCCGTCAGCAAATACTACATCCACGACGTCTCCGACCTCATCGATGTAAGTGCTGCTTCCTCTGCATCATCCTGCCCATTCTCTTCTGAGAAGTGCACAGCTGCATCTTAAATGTGGTTTGGTCCTTAAATGCACTCTCATGTGGTGGTAATGAAGGGCTGTTTGTTGGGGCTTTAAAATATGCTCAACTGTAGCCTGAAAATGTGCTGCAAATTTGGATATACTTTTTTCCCCTTGTGTTTTTTTCCTCCCAGCTGCCCACACACATTTGACAGTTGTGTAGGCATACAGTTAATGCAGGCATGTATGAGCAGAGCTAGAGCTGCCGTTACACAGGAGTCACAGCGTGGTTTGGGTTGGGAGGGACCTTGAAGATCACCCAGTCCAACCCTCTCCATGGCAGGGACACCTCCCCCTGGACCAGCCGCTCAAAGCCCCATCCAGCCTGGCCTTGAACGCTTCTAATGATGGGGCATCCACAGCTTCTCTGGGCAACACCCAGAGTCAGCCACTTCTGAGCCTTATGGTGGCCACACAACGAAGTGATGGATTGGTATTTATGCTGTGTATAAACTTCTTTTGTCGGTGTCTGGGAAAAAAGATGGGGTTTTTCATTCTGACTGCAGAGTATGAACCAGCCTGAACCAGACCCTTTCCTGAGCACGTAAGCAGTGGAGCCTGCATTGAACTGTGAGGTTTGGGCACCTCTGATGTACAGTTATGAACTAGAAATTGTGTGAACGTTTTCTGCATCTTTCACACTCTCAGGAGCACGCTAAGGTCTGGTTGTCGATGTGCATTGGCTCTGCTGTCAGAACCGCACAGACGTGGTGCTTTCCTTCACGTTGGAGCAATGGCTTCACCTGCTGTGGGTCCCACACCGCAGGATGTCCTGCAGCTGCAGCTCCACAAAGTCCATTGCTTTTGGAGGAGAATTTTCCCTGGGACAAGCCAAGAGAGCCCAAGGTTTTCTCCTGGCCCATCGATTAGTCTGCACTTGAAACAGATCAGATACATCCTCAGTTTTGGTGCTGAAACAGAAGATTTTTCGTTCCAATACACACACCTGCGTTGCTGTTGGTGTGAGCAGGGCCTGGCTCTCCGTGGCTCTGGTGGTGGTTAATCCCATGTGGGCAGCTGAGCACTCATGGAAGGGCTTTCCTGGCTCTGGAGGGGCTTTGCCGAGCTGTGTGCCCAGTGCTGGAGCCGTATCTCGAGTGCTGTGTGCATGGAGTAGCCTCAGGGCAGGGACTGCTGCAAGCAGGATTTGTAGTGGTGTAGGAGCTGGGGTGTGTGTGTGCATCAGTGACTCCTCTGAGCTGCTTTAAATGATTCAGGAGAAGGGATTCCCATTTCTCCTTTAATGGATGTTTTCACAGTGGTAGGGATTGCGCTGTGCAGCTTCTCCCTGCTAGAGCTGCTTCAGCGAGCACATGGAGACCTGACCTGTAAGTACGCAGTGAATCTTCTGGCTTCACCAGTACCTAAGTGTACAATTTAAAAATGTGCTGGAGTGTTTATCTCCTTTACTAACCCACTAACATATATTTATTCTTCAAAGCAATAATTAAGGTAAATCTGATGCAAAGCCCCTGATGATTTCAAGATTCTGAGATAAAACATTCTCAGTATGTTCTTTTTGTTCTCCTTATTATTTAAGATGTGTTTAGCCACATTAAACAACTAATAATTTGATCATGGAGACATTTGAACAGCAAGGTATGATAACTTCTTCATTTATCTGAGCGATTTCTGCTTTTTGTTGTGTGTATTGTCTCTCATTTATTTTTTTTTAAGCAAGAATGACTTGTTTCCATGGAGGTCTGGGGACTTTGGTTTCCTGGAGAGTTGCTGAGTTCCATTTTAGTTCTGGTAGTTGATGTTATTCCCCCCAACTTTATTTCCTTGCTGACACTTGCACTGCAGTCAGCAGATGGCTTTTCTTCCGCACTCCAGGAATCCCTCCGGGGGACTTTAACTAAAGCGTCTTCAGCTCTGCACAGCTCAGTTCCCCCAGTTATGGATTCTGTTCACCAAAGAAAACAAACTGTCAGATGTTGGAGCTGCACACAGTTGTCCTGGTTTCAAACCCCCAAAAGAAGAGCAGACTTTTGGATAAATTCAAGGTATTTTGCAAGAGCACGGCAAGAAGGGTTTCCGGAAGAAGGGGGTCCATTTGCTGCTCTCACCGGTACTGCAGCGGCTCTCACACTCCCTCACCTCCAGCACGAGTTGCCGTGTGCAGCTCCTTGGTCTGTGCACAAACCCGAGCCGTCAGGCCGCTGGAGCAGCGAGTTCAGCAGCTCTTCCCCCAGATCCCAGGTGGCTCGGTGTCATCCATCAGGCACAGCCGTGACATTTCTGGCGCCCTCAGCGTCACAGCAGAGCGGGGACTTTTCCAACAAAGCCGCTGTAATCTCCGCTCGGGTGAGGAGGAGGTCCCAGCTGCTGGGGTGAGCACGGGGAGCGCTCCCCGGGCTGCGATTTTAATTGGAAATGGAAAACTTGATCAGCGGAGCCGTGCAGTGGCACAGAGCGCGTCTGTCCCTGCTGCTGTCCCCAGCGGCCTCTTTGTCCTCTAAAAAGGAGGAGAAGAGCGCAGACAGATCAAATGAGACTGGGACTTGAAGGGCACTGCAGTGCCTCTTCCCTCCAAAGATGCGTGTGTCAGTATTGAAACGCCCGGGTTTGTCTCTCAGTTTTGTCATTAACTGTGTGGCCAAGTTAATCTCTTTGGCCACGTATGTGAAGTGGAGATAAAGCTGCTTATCCATCCCTCCGGAGGGCTGTGTGAAATGGCTGCAAAATATTTTGAAGCGTCTCATGAAGGGTGTCGCTGCATCGAGCAGGGTAAGACGCAGCATCGGTGTGGAGATGTTCTGATCCACCCAAACTTGCTCAGCGCCCTGTAAATCCCTTTGAAACAGCAGCTTGCTGCTTGACAGATTGGCGTTTGCCATATCTGAGACAAAAAAGCCAGTAAATGAGGGCAATTCTGAGGAATTTTGATGTTGCTGGGCAGTGGGACTGGCCGGGCTGGGCTGTCCGACGCCGTGGCTGTATTTTGTGTGTGAGGTCCATCCCCCTGAAGAAGAAGGAGACTCCGAGGTGCTGCAGCCACAGCCCACGTCATTAGGGTCTGTTTTTAGGCGTCTCCTGCAGCTCAGTGTCCGTTGGTGGCTAATTGTCATTGTGGCCATCAGTGGCTAATTGCAGGGCCACATCTGTGCCCGCAGAGCAGCGCTGCAGCTTGGCTTTGTGCAGGGCTTTCCCTGTGTGGCCGCACGGAGATGTTCTTCTCCCCTGGCCGGGGTGGCTCTGTGTGACACTAATGGCTCTGCTGAAGAGACACTGATTTACACAAAAGGAGGGGGTATGTTTCAGGGGTTTGCTCTGTTGTTTGAAGCAATTTCTCCAGCACAAACACCCTTTCAGTCCCACAAAGGCCACAGAGGTTCCTCGCACGCTGTCCTTTGAGTGCGCTTTCCACCAGATCCCTGGCTCCCGCCAGCCAAAAAGTCAGGTAGGGTTTATCGTGGGAACTTGGTGCAAGGCAGCGCTGCCACCGCACTGTGGTGCGGAGCAGCACCCGCGACTGAAACCTCGTGCCCTCCTGGAAGCAGTGCCTGTGCCATGGCCACGCTGTGCGGTCTCGTGTTGGGGTGTTTCAGTAAAGGCAGCTTGCAGCAGTAACGAGAATAAACGGCTTCCACCAGCGGCGATGAGGCTGGCGAGAGGCTCCGTGCTCTTTGCTGTGTGGATGCTGCTTCCCTGGTACCCTCTCTCCCGCAGCGTTTGGGAATGCCACCGGCGGCCCACAGCAGCCGAGCTGGTCAGCTCTGCCTGCCGCTGGGAAGGGAGCTGTGGGAAACTGAGAATTCGGGTTTTCAGGAGGTGCTGTCACTGACTTTGCAGAGAGCTGTGAGCTGAGGAGCTGGAGGTGCAGCCACTGACTGGCTGTCGGTGACGTGCGGTGACAGCCCTGTACGTGCTGGGGTGCCGGGTTCCTGCAGTGAAGGTCAGACACCCCGGGTGCCATGGGTGCAGGGTTGACCCTGGAGTTCTGGTGGTGGCTGCGACAGGAGCCTGCCGAGAGCCCTGGGCTGTGGTCCTGGCGTGTGAACGGGGCAGGGGTTGTCAGTGGAAACGGGTGATAAAACCATATCTGTGTGCTGTTAAGAGCTTCGTGCATTTGTAGAGAATAAACAGAAGAAAAAAGGATTATGATGTGATCTTTTTCAACACAGGGCTGCTGTGGACAGAGAGGAGGGCAAGGAGGTGCATTTGCTTGGTTTTCTTTCAGGAATCAGACACTTTTCATACACTAGTACTCTGGTTTAGTAAATGTTCGTTCTATATGCAGGTTAATTATAAGGAGTTCCTGTTTGTAGGCAGGAACTACAGATCATGATACTCACATAACAGTTTTTACAAGGCTGCTCTTAGAGTACTGTACGAAACCAAAAGAATCCAACCTATACACATTCTTTAAATTGTGCTGGTCCTGGCTTCACTAATAAGGCAGTACTACATTTTTTTGCCAAAGTTTGCACCTAGTAAACAATTATTCCTCATGTGGATGCTACAGACAGTGGAGTTGGCTTGCTAAGTTAATTAAGCACATGTGCTGATTGAGCTGTGATTTAGAAGTGTTGTGTGGGCTGTAAATTTTACTGCCTGGAGACGTGAAAAGCAGCAGCACTTCCCGCTAGAAAACGTAATTTCGTGGCACTTTTGGCTTGAAAGAATGACCTCAGGGTCTCGATGGCCTTTAAAAGATGAGCTGACCAATGCATTCATCTTAAAATAAAGCCCAAAGCACCCCCTCACAAACAAACAAACAAAACCCTTGACCCCCAAAAATCCAAACCACCAAACAACCAAAAACCCCTTTACAAAGTCCCAAGAAATGATGAATGGGAGAGGGAGTGGAGTTAATTCACCACAGCTCGACTTTGAGAAGGACTCTGTACTGTTTGGCGCGCTCATATTTATAGTTAAGGAACCTTTGATGAGAAATAATCCAGTCTCGTGCTTCAGGGCAAGAGCTGATGGCTGCAGGGTCGGGGAGGATCCTGTCCTTCCCCGGCCGTGTCCACACGTTGTTCCCTCCTTGGCTGAAATCCCCGGCCGTGTCCACACGTTGTTCCCTCCTTGGCTGAAAATGAATCAGTCGTTCGGGAGGTTTTGTGTTGTGGATGCTGCCTCAGGCAGCACAAACTGAGCGCGATGGACCAGGGCTGTGTCTTTAGGAGAGAGACGAGGCCGTCCCCTCCTCTCCATCGTGTGAGCTAGGGTCCTCGTTGCTGCGCCGCCTCGTCGTGGCCCTGCACCACAGCATCCCACCCAGCACCAAACCTGCTGGGGTGATCTCCAGCAAAGGGAGACTGCCCCCACGCTTGTTTGCTTCCTCCCATCTCTTCTGAGCCATTATTTGTGGCTGCTGATGTGTCTCAGCCCTTTCTGCCTTCTCCTGGTGTGGTTTAATTTCCTGTGCTGCCTGGATGCGTCTGGGGGCGCAGAGCCTGTTTGTGGTGGGGTGTTTTTGCATGGCGTTCATCTGCTGTGCCTTCTGCAGCAGGGTTTGTTTCAGTGCTGGTTTGCTTTGAGGGAAGTGCAGTGGCTGCAGAGGTGTTTTGTTTGTTTTCCGCATATTTAATGCATAGCAAATAAATGCTTTCCATAAAAACGAATGAGAACAGGAGCAGTGTGTATCCTCTTTGAACGCCTTTCCCAAGGTCTGAAGATACGCTCAGATGTAAGTCAGGCTCTCACGCAGTACCCAGCATCGTCATGGCCAAGCGCGAGCATTTTCCTGGTAAAACATCGTTTTGTGCTTTGTGACAGATGCAGCAAATGTCGTTTAGCTCCTTCACCAGTGCAGAAAGGAGACGGATGCACCCGTATTTTGGAAGGTGTTCCGTCTCTGGAGCCCGGTACCGTTGCAGCCTGGGCACGGTGGCGTGGCCAGGCCCTTCCTGAGGGGGGCATTGGGATGCCCGTGCAGCACTGGGGACTCCCTGGCTCGCCTGGCTCTGGAGAACTTTTAATCATTGTTTGCACTCCTGTCTCTGAAGCGGGGTCCATGGCCAGCGCTGGTCCTCTGCAGCCCCTGGGCCCTCCTGCGGCGCAGCTCTGTGGTGGGCACCGGGAGACACATGGATTTGGCTACTTCTGTGGTGTTTTGGCCAAAACCAGCTTGTCTGAGCTCCGGGTGTTGGTTTATTTCTCAAGTTGAGCACTGTAGTATTGCCACCCCTTGCAGGGGTGTTACCAGACTTAATGAATTAATATACCAAGAGCTTTGAGCTCTCCGGATGAAAGGCGCTGCAGAAGGGCTAAGGATTATTATTTGTGGTTCTAATTTATTTTCCATCAAAGGGATGAGCGGGGTGAGAAAATGCCATTTGTTCTGGAGCTGGGAGCAGGAGTTTGAAGTCCTTTTTTCTTTTCTTTCTTTTTCTTTTCCCTTTGTTTCCCTGGGAGTTTCATGGCAGTCCCTGCTCTCATTCTCCCCTGGGCAGCAGCGTGTGACGCAGCCGGTGCGGTGCTGATCGCCGGGGACGTCGCGGCCGTGGTGTGGTAGGAAAGGGCCTGCCCTGGTTCTCGCAGCAGCCGATTTCTGGGCGTTGCTCGTAGCTGCCAGCCTCAGCACAAGGTCAGCACCAAAGTCCACACAGAATTCTTTCTCAAAAGCATCTGGCTGTGCCCTGAGCCCCGTCTCTGCGGATTTAGTGGCATTCAGTGATTTCCCTTTGTAATAGCTCGGTTTTGTTTGCCTTGGGAATTCCCACACTTGCACACTGGCAGATATTTTCTCCCGGTATTGCTTTTTGTGGTCAAGGAGCAGTAATTTCCCAGGGGCTGGGAGAAGGACAGCAAGGGATGGGAGGTGTGCCCAGATGCCGTGCTGTGTCGTCCCGACCCGTTGGTTTCTGTGTGCACCCAGGGCGGTGGTACGGGCGCTCGTGCTGGGATTGTCTCACGGGAGAGATTCGCAGTGCTGGGATGAGGTTTTGCCCCGAGCGGTGAATAGAAATTCACCCCCATTCCTCTTTTTTTGTGTTGCCTGCTGATTTATGAAGGCAGAGCTGTACCAGTCCTTAACTGCCCATGTTTTCAGCTAATAAGATTAGAAGCTAAGTAGAAGCAGGATAAACGGTGGATTATGGCCATTCGATCGCTCCTGCAAAAGTCCTCGCTGTCGCTCGTGTGGTTCGGCTCGATGGGGATAGGCTGCGCTGGTGGATCTGTGAGCAGTCGGCTCGTTGTTTTTCTGCTGCTTTTAGCCTGGACTGGACCAAATACAGCGGCGTGTGACGTGATCCGAGCCGAGGGATGTCTCTTCACGTCCCCAGAGAGCTCGAGATGGCTTCTTTGGTTGAAGCTGCTTGTGGCACCAGCTGAGCTTTCATATTTCACTTCGAGTTTATCGATGCTGATGTTCTGATGCAGAAATTGCTTTCTGTGCCTTTCTGCATCGGTTCAAAAAAACATGGATGCTGCAGAGCAGGAGAAGGTGGCTCTGAAACGCTGCTTCCCAACAGGGAGTTCTGCTGCTTTTGTGTTACTGAGATTACACCAGCAATCTTTCTTCTCTTTCCTGTCGCTTTTTGTGCTGGACTGGTCCTCCAGGCTGTGGTTTTGGTGAGGCCACACAAGGGTTGAAGCCAGCTCACCCCATGCGTGCCCATGTTGTGCTGGGGTGGTTTTGGTTACAGCTCGGTCAGTGAGGACGTCCCACTGCTCCCAAATCTGTGTGGCAGCAAAGGGCCTTGACCTCTGTAATGTCGATTGTCCTGCTTTTGGGTAACAAGAGAGATTCTCTGGCAATGGTTAGTTGGTGCTGTGCCACGGGAGGTGTTTCTCATGGAGACATCCCTGTGACCCACAGCCCCCCTGCTGATCAGGGTGCACTGCAGATCACGGTGTTTGAGTGCAGAGGTAACTGAGCAGTGTCCAACCATGAGCATATGGCTCTGCTGATCAGGGGTGCACTGCAGATCACAGTGTTTGAGTGCAGAGGTGCCTGAACAGCATCCAACCCTTAGTGTCTGACTCTGACCGGGGTGTGCTGTGCCATGCCCCACAGCCGAGTCCATGCCATGCCAGGAGACAGGGAGGAGTGTGCTGGGGATGTAGGATTATGAAACGCCTCACGGAGGAAAAAGCCACATTTTTCTGCCTTTTACATCCTCTGTCAGGAGCTCCAGCCCTCTCTTAGGTCCCAGAAATAGACGTCCTGCAGCCCTTCTGTTTCACTGCATGCTCCGCACAGCCCCAGCAGCGTGGCTCAGGCTGATCCTTGCGCTTCCTCCTGCTTCCAGCATCCTCTGTCCTGCCTTCATCCACAGAACAACATCTGTTGACCTCCAGATTTTGGGTGCCTCTTCAGTGCCCATCCTTGTGCCCCACTCCCGGAGCAGGCCAGTCAGAGCAGAGCCTTGTGGAGGTTTGTGCTGTCAGGGCTCCTGGTGGGGACTGGCTGGAGGGCTGCTACGAGTTGCTTTTGCTCGGCTGTGACTACGCGTTCGTAGCAGCAAATCCCTGTGCTGCTGCTGTACTTAACATGCCAAACTCAATTATATTGAGAAGAGAGTTTAAAAACAGGCTTTTGTCTAATGTACAATATTTTGGCAGCAATTAGCTCTGAGTTTTATCATTTTCCCCAAGGTGAACATGAGAAAGATCAGTTATGCGTGAGAAGCTGCTCTGTCGTGAGAGGAAGAGAGCTTCGAGTGAGGATAAAAGGGTTTGTGCACACTACAGGGCACAATTTTCACTGCCACCTTGCTGTTGGATACACCCCAGCACGTTAGGGCTGGTGTTTCTCTGGGACATACGGTGCTGTTTTGGGCATTTAATGCATACGTGACCCTCCAGAACAAGGGTAAGGTATTTGTGACCGGCCCCTTCCTCACTGTTTCTCAGTGCTGTGACCTGGGGTTCCACGCCAGCCTGGCCCGGACCTTCAGGACGTACCTGTCTGCCGAGTACAACCTGGAAACCTCCCGCCACGAGGGCCTGGACATCATCGAGAACGCTGTGGACAACCTGGATGCACGCAGTGACAAGCACACCGTCATGGACATGTGCAACCAGGTCTTCTGCCCCCCGCTGAAGTTTGAGTTCCAGCCCCACATGGGGGATGAGGTAGTGTACTCACGCCAGGGGCTGCAGAGCGCCTTCCTCCTCCTCTGCACCATCACTGCTGAATCACTTCTGACCCCTCATCCCTCTGTTCTGTCTTCACACGCTGCTGTTCGTGTTTCCTTTCTTAATGAGACACTTGGCTCATTAGGGCTCCTCCTTTCAGTCTGCCTCTTGCTCCGCGTCTCTCCCAATTAGGAGCCCTGTGGTTTGATCTCGGCTGAGCTGCCCAGCAGATTTGTAAAGTGGAGCTGTGATTTACCTGCTGCAATTGGGAGACCTCAGAGCGTGGCTTTCAGATGCCGGCTGGAAAACACTTTGTGCTGGCTGGGGTCCAGGGCACTGCTGATGAGAAACGGGGCAATGAGGAGCGTGGGGGTGCTGAGGGGATCATTTTGGTGTTTAAATGTGTGTGTCTGGTCAGTGTGTGACCCGTTGACTGCTCTCCTGTCCCAGGTGTGCCAGGTGAGCGCCCAGCAGCCCGTGCAGACGGATCTGCTGATGCGGTACCACCAGCTGCAGTCGCGACTGGCAACGCTCAAGATCGAGAATGAGGAGGTAAGGAGTCACGCTGGGTCTTGCGCTTGGCCTCGCAGGTGCCGCTCAGCCTTTCGCCCGTGGTGCCGGGCTTTCCTGATGTGCTTGGGTCCTTCCAGAGTGCAGGAGCAAACCCAGTGGGAGCTGCCTGTGGCCGGTTGTTTTGGCTCAAGATGTGTCGCTTTCCCAGTCTGCTTCAAATCCAGGCTGTGTTCTGTTCCTGATAGGTACGAAAAACTCTGGATGCCACAATGCAGACCTTGCAGGACATGCTGACGGTGGAAGATTTCGATGTTTCGGATGCCTTCCAGCACAGTCGCTCCACTGAGTCAGTCAAATCAGCTGCATCAGAGACCTACATGAGCAAAATAAACATCGCCAAGAGGAGAGCCAACCAGCAGGAAACCGAAATGTTCTATTTTACGGTGAGTCTCATCTCATGCAATAGAGCACACAAAGCAGTAATTGCTAGGGCTGAGTCCCGTTTTAAGTGCTCATTACTGAAGAGCAAGAACCAATTCAGTCTCTTTAAGTATTTGTCTTCTGCCTGATTTGGGGCTGGGATGTGTTTCTCGGTGGCAGGGCAGCACACAGGGACTGACAGGCCAGTGTCTGCCTCCTCCTTGTTTGGGAAGGAATGGGAGCAGCCAGTTGTGACCAACAACTGCAGGACTCGGTGGGAACGGCTGGCGCAGGGCAGCAGGCTCAGGCTGACCTCACGTGTGTCACTGGTCACTGCTCCCGGAGGCCTCTGCAGTTTTGGTCCATCAGCTGAGCCGTCCTTTTCTGTGCCACACAACTAAAATGTGCCCTGGGCCCACGGCAGGGACTGAGCAGTCACTGCTCCTTGTGCAGTGGTGCCTCGCTGTGTGCAGCTGGGCTGTGTCTGCCCTGCAGCCCAGCTCCTGTGCTTCACCCCCAGGCAGACCTAAGGTTCTCCGTTACAGGGCCTGAAGTACAGGTAACACACCATTGGTGGCCCTCGTTTAAACACAGTCTGTAGGCTAAAGTTTATGGCACCTTGCGGTATGTTACTTACGTGTATAAAAGCTTCTACTTTTATTCCAATTAAAGTGGCAAAAAACGTACAGTTTTTGTTATGAGTTGTGCTTTGGTTTTCTTTAGCGCTTTTTGCAAGAATTTGGTCTCTCCCATTTGTCTGTCTTTCATTTTTCCATCTCCGTCTCCCTCATTCCTCTTGTCTGTAAAATCCCTTGCTCCTGAGCGTTCCCAGGTGTCAGGCAGTCTCACCATGAAGGGAGAGGCTGTGCTGCACAGCAAGTGTCTCCCGGTGTGATGTAGCATCTGGTGGTCCCTGACCTGGGAGGGTCTCACACACTGGGAGTTCTCGCTCTGCATCACTTGTTTGCACAAAGGCAAAGTGCTGTCAGCAGAGAGAAAGCCTTTTTGATGTCCTACGCCATTCCCAGAAGCCTGACAAAGGAAAGCTCGCTTTGAATTCTGTTCTTTGCAGCTCCTTGCATTCCCAGGTGGGAGGTGCAGCACCAAGGAGACCAGCAAGAGCTGGTGAGATCCTCAGGGCTGTGGCTGGAGCAGGGAAAGTGGACCACGCTCAGCCCCGCAGCATGTCTGACATCGGGCTTGTTGGAGCCCGTCAGCTGTGCCGAGCCCCCGCCAGCAGCCCCCCAGGCAGACGTGTACATCAGTTATGGACTGTTTTTGCCGAGAGTCTTAACCCACCTTCTTTGTTTTGTTGTTAATTCCAGAAATTTAAGGAGTATTTGAATGGCAGCAACCTTATCACGAAGCTCCAGGCTAAGCACGACTTGCTGAAGCAGACTCTGGGAGAAGGTGAGTTAGCGGGGTTTGGTCCAGAGAGGAGGTGATTTTAAACCTGGCGGCATCTTCCACTTGTCCCTGCTGTCTGTTTTCCCAAGTGACTGATGGCTTCTGGGGCTGGCGGCTTCTGCTGAGCTTAACCAGTGACATGCAAAACCATTATTTCCCTGGAATACTGCTCTTTTCCCACCTTTCTCTGGGAGTGCACATAGAGGAATTTGCCTGAATCTTACACTGCGTGCCAAAGGACTGTATTGCCCAGCAGCAAAGAGATTCCCCCAACCCTGGGCACCCTCACCAAGGCAGCCCCGTGCTGCGCCAGCAGGGCAGGGGCTGTGTGAGGGGCTTCCGGCCGCTGGGGCTGAGTTGGGCTTTGCCGTGGGCAAGGGGGATGGAGCACGCGGTTCCCAGAAACTGGACCCACCCGAGCTCTTCCCAGCATCACAGATGTTGATAAAAGAGCTCTGCTCTTGGGTGCGGTGCTGAGACACCTCTGGGCTGGTGCGGGAGGCCGTGGGTCTGTTGAAGGTTCGTTTGCTCCCCATCGTGGTCTCTCACCCACGTGGCTGATGCCACACTTACTAGGCAGAGCGCAGGGCCAGGCGTTTTCATTCTCCAGAGTTGTGCAAAAGCAGCCAGGCAAGATTTTCAGATGAGAACTTCCTGAATTTCTCCCGAGCCGTGGAATCATCCTGCTTTGTAGGCATTCAGCAAATATTTAGCTCAGAAATGCCAAATGCTGCATTTCAGCATGAGCTGGTTCTCATTAGGAAGAGGTCTGGGTTTGCGGAGCACTCATGTGGAATTCTCTTGTTCAGGGAGGAGTTGGCTGTGAGCTCGCTTTCTGCAGGTGCCAAGGGAGAGCAGGAAGGAGGCCTGTGCAGCCAAATGCTTCCATTTATGTGTCTTAGAAAAGGGAAGAATAAATCAGCTTTCCTGGCCTTGGGAGAAAGACACAAACAGCATGTGAAATTAGTTCATTTTTTTCAGTGGATTGACAAATACTTTAAGAAATGAACAGATCTTATCAGTGGCGATACGCTGCCATTTATATGAAATCCCAGCACTGAAAATACACAAAGGGAATGAGAAAATTGACAGCCAGAGTGGCGTCTGCCTGATGGTGATTAGAGGGGCTGTTATCTCGCAGGAAAAGCTGGGGACAGAGCACTCGGCTGCGTGCGGGTGCTCGTAGCAGTCTCCGTGAGGCAGCTGGACAATCTCCACAGCCCCTGGGGGCTGCAGCCCTTATCAGCACCCCCCACCCCGTCCCTGCTTGCTTGGCCGATCCCCAGTCTGTGTCAGTGAGCACTCGGTGAGGAGGCCCTGCAGTGCTTGTGGTTATTTACAAGATGGGCTTCATATTGCAAAGAAACTTCAGTGTCGGTGGGAACTGAGGACTGAGTGGCTGAGTCTTGGACTTCTAATACGTCTTTTAGTGGTGGGGGCTTGTGTAGCAACACGCTGGGCATCTCCCCAACCTGCGGGGACCTTCAGCTCCTCTCTGCCCAAAGCTGTTAACTCAGGACTTACAGAACCAGAAGCGAGAGTGTGTGAATACCTGTGCAAAGGTGTTTTAACAGTTGTTTGGTGGTAACTGATGTGAAGAGGTAACAAACTTGTGTTTCTTCGTAGGTGAAAGAGCCGAATGCGGAACAACGAGGTGAGCAGTTTCTTCCACTTCATCTGCTTTGGGGAGGGCTCTCTCTGGCAGGAGGGTGGCCATGGGAAGGGTGGTTCGCTTTGTTGCGGGTACAGCTTGGTTCAGATTTAACCATCGTCTGTTGTGCTGGCAGAGCAGAGGACAGGCAGTCCTGGGCTCCCCATGTCACTGCCCGGCTGCTCACCTGCGTTGCCTGAAGTGGGTTCATTTGGGGGTGACAAACAGGCCCCTGCTCCTGCTGCAGTGTGATTTCTAGCTGTCTGGCTCTGAAGGGCCCGAAGTGCTGTGTCAGTGTGGTGCCGGGCCGTGCAGCATAGCTGAGGTTGAATTGTGTTCGTGTCCACCCGCTCCCTACCATCCCCGTTCATTTGAGGACTTTGATCGTGCCCCAAAGCGGAGGCGTGCAGAGCGTGTCTGCATTCAGACTTTCATCCCCTGCCGCAGGAGATGGTGCTGGGGTGAATGAAACGGGGAGGAGGCTTTGATCTGTGTCCAGTGCATAAAGCAGCTCCACAGAGCTTGCTATGGCTGTGCTGGTTTTCTAACAGTGCAGCCTCCAAGCACCTCTCTGCGTTACCTCTGTACAACCCTGTTTCAGTGTTTAACAAAATTTGCAATACCAAACCCTTTCATGTTAGAAACGCTGGAGCAGATGGTGAAGCCTGGGCTGCCCTGGCAGGCAGGAAGGGGATGCCTTGGCACGGCAGCAGGGTCGCAGGGTACCTTGCTCTGCCGGTGCCAGGCCGTGGCGTCAGGGCTGGGCAGCTCCAGGGCCACAGCGTTGGGTGGTGAGGTGCCCTCAGGACAAGGAGGGCCCTTCCCTGCAGTGTCACTGCCCTGATGTGCTCCCAGGTCCCCTTTGGGTCAGCCACAGCCATCGCTGCCCGGAGCCGAGCCCCACAGCGCCCTGACACCCTCAGTCCCTTGGGGCAAGCGTGGGGGCTGCAGGCACAGCTGCAAGGGAGCTCTGGTCCCTTGGGGGTGCTGGGCAGGGCTGTGTGCTGAGCAGGCTGAGGAAAGCGTGCCCAAACGCCAGGTAAAATCTCAGGGAGTCTGCTCTGATTGCTGTGTTCATCAGTGGGTGCCTGTGGGGTGATGGTGTCGCAGGCCAAAGCCATAAAAGGGATGAGTAACAGCCTCCTACGAGGGACATGGCACAGCTCCTTGCTGCTTCTGTTTGCTTTCGTTTCAGCAGTTGCTTTTGCTTCACAAAGCAAAACAAACAAGAGACAATCTCCTCCTTGTGTGAGGCAGCAGAAAGCCAGGGCAGAGCAACCTTCCCACCCTCTCCGGTGGGGCAAGGAGATCGCCCGGGGCGTGCAGTGCTGGGCCTGCAGCTCAGGCAGCTCAGCTGGGTCCGGTGGGCATGGCTGGGCAGCAGCCATTTCTGCTCCTCACCTGCCTGTTGAAGGAGTGGCTAGAAGCTGTAGGAGCGTAGAGTCAAACTGCTTAATGAAGGGTGTCCGATTAAGGAAGCAGTGGATCACAACCGTCACCTTTGCGTCACAGCTCAGTGAACTGCACGTGTCCATTTGATCTGCTGGGAGAACTTCTGCACGACGGCTCCTCGCGCTCATCTGTGTGTGCTGTCGCGCTCTCTCCTCTGCAGACAGTGATACAGCCTGGGGGTAGAGGACAGATCAGAAACTGGTTAGAGATTTTATGCCGTTTTTATCCCTCATCTAGGTCTAGGCACTTGGGTCTTAATGTCCTTCATTATCAAAAGAAGAAATCAAAATGTGACTAGCGTTAATGAAAGCAGCCCTCCAGAGTCCTGATCACTGCACTGAAATAAGTCACTCATTTCCCTGGCCCTGTTTCCAGGAGCAGTAGGTGTCTGTAGCCCTTGCTGAAGAGCACAGGGTCTGCAGGATCTGCTCCCATGACCATTGAGGCCCTTCCACCAGCAGCTACCAGGGCTAGGGTCACACCGTGTCCTAATGCGGGTGCTGCCTTCTTGTTCTTGTCGTTGCTGGTGCATTTGTGCGTGTGTGTTAGCAGGGCTCACTTTTTTGCTTGGTGGTTTGAATCTTGGCAGTGCCTGCCAGAAAGAGGAGAGACCTTTCACGTCGCTGTGGATGTCTCCCAAACAGCAGTTGGCTACAGAGGTGGAAGTGCTCCTACTTTCCTCTTCTGGCTGTATTTGAGCAGAGTGAGCTCTGCTCAGGGATGAACAGGAACACTCTGGTGTTTTCTAGCGGTAGCTGTGGTTCAGTTTGGATATACCAAGGAATCAGCTGAACCCTGCAGCTCTCTTAGTGCTTGTTCAGGCTGACAGTGCTGAACTGGTGGCGGTAGGAGGCAGGTGTTAAAAATTCTGCTGAGCACCAGTGCCTTCATTTTGCTTCTGAAATGTCATCTCTGGTACCAGCACAAACGCTGAACAGTAGTTTTGGTATTTGGCATCTCAGAGAGGGAGAATCGTGTCTGCAGATCGTGGGTACCGAAGGCGGTTGTGGCCGCTGTGCTCAGCAGCTTTACTGCTCTGGCTTGGATGAAGAACGTTCCTGGTCACCTGTTGGTGGTGGTTGTCGGTGCAGTTACTGCTCTGCTGCTGGCCGAGCTCTGAGATGACTCTTCTTTACAGCAGCAACGAGGATTTTCAGGAAGCCTGTCGCAGCAGCTGGGGGCTGTATGTGACTGCAGCTGAAGCTGGAGTCTGTCTGATAGGGAAACACTGGGAGATGATGGGGATGGACAGGAAGGGGTAGGTTGGCTTATTGCTGTGAAGTGTTTCTATTATCCAGATTAATTTGAATTTATTACTTAAGTAGAAGCTGCAGCCTTGACTTTGACATTCAGTGCTCAGTGAACAGCTCTGGTTATGCTCTGGGCTGCCCAGCTCTGCTGCTCCCCCTCACAGCCGCCCGCTGCTCCTGGGCTCAGCACGTGGCCTCTGTGGCCCGCAAGAGCGGGGCTGTGGCTCCAAAACGACCGAGCCAGGTCTGTGCTGGGGTAGCCCGCCCCAGGCTGCGGCACGGGGCTGTGGAGCAGCAGAGGACACGTCCCTGGAGCCGCTGTGTGCAATGTGAGCTGTGGAGCCCAGCTCTTTGCTGGTGCCGTGGGAGCAGTGTCCCTGGGGGATGCAGTGCGGGAGGACGCTGAAGTGTGAGCGGCTGCAGCGCATGGAGCCACGTGTCAAGTCCTCGCAGAGGGATTTTTGTTTGATTTATTTTTTATTCTCAGTCGTAACCTTTGAGATCTCACCCTGTCATTGCATTTATGTTGGTGTTTTGTTGATTTATTTTGTTCCATTTTCTCCCAGGCCCCCATGTCTTCCCCCTAAGCCACAGAAAATGAGGAGACCTAGGCCTCTCTCAGTCTATAATCATAAACTCTTTAACGGCAATATGGAAACGTTCATTAAGGTACTCGCTGGCTGACAGTAAGAGTTTATGAACACTGTGAATGCAATGGTGGCTTTCCTGTCCTAGCAGCCGGCTGCTTTCCTCCTTTGTTGGGGTCTCTCTGGTCTGCCCTGCACCCAGTCAACATGGCTGGCACGCTCTGCCTCTGTAGCTGTCCCTGCCCCTCCAGCGCTCCTGTCCTGTCACTGCCCCTGTGCCCCGGGGCGAGGGCGGCAGCGAGGGCTCTCTTGGCCGGTGGCCTCGGCCGTGCTGGTGTCTGTACGGTGCCCTTGGCCAAGTGTCCCCATCGCTCAGTGCTGCTTCACCCATTCCTCCAAATCGTTGCTGGCAGTGCTCGGCACAAGGCCTTCATAAATGTGGGCCAAAGTATTTATTGAGCTGGGGTGAATCAGCTGAACTCAATTAATACCAGTGCGGTCACAGTGGAAGGGGGCAATTGGCCCTGTTCACCCCAGGAATTTACCCAGGAGAGATTTGTGGAGAAAAATGAAGCTACGTGGATGTGGGATTTGTCCCTGCAGCTCTCTAGCTGCTGTTCCTCCGAAATCCAGCACTGTCCTATTGCCTGGCTGCTGGGAGGATTTCCAAAGGATGCGAGGCCGTTCCAGTTGCTCAGAGTGTTTAATCCTGCACTGGAGAAAGCTTTAGTGAAAATCCTGTAGTAATGACAAACTGTTGGATTAGGTAAACTAATAGGCATTGTCCAGCTCCCATTTATTCTCTTAGGCTGTTTTAGGGCACCTGCAAGCCGAAGGGCAGGGTTCAGAACAGTGCCCTGTCACAAGTAATGTACAGACCCAGCTAACGAGGCCAGTAATCTCTTTAATACTCGTAATTACTCCTTACTTAAACTGACTTTTAAGAAGGCAAGGCTGATTAAAGCCCAGCCTGGCTGGATCTGTCTGAGTGAACGGGGGTCCCACAGTGCTGCTGGGGCAGTCCTTGAGGGGGGTCCCCTCGCCAGTGCCCGCACAGGGGCTGGTGCTGTCCCCAGGCTCCTGCTGCAGGATCAGGGAGGGACGAGATCCGAGAGGCTCTTCCAGATGTCAGTTCTGCCACTGCCGAAGCTGGGTGCAGCGTAAGACGGGTGTGGGAGGGAGGGCGGATGGCCTAGGGCCTGGGTTGGACCTTGCTAAGCTGCCATTGCATTTGAGCGTTCATGGCCTCCAAAAGAGATGCTTACCTCTAACTGAACTTATCCTTGCTTAATCTTTTCTTTTTTTCCCGCTCTGCTGCTTTTTTCTGTTCTCAGAGGAAGGAGGAATGCGCGAACGAGAAACCAGGTATTTACTGGAGGCCCGTCTGCGAGACGGAGTAAATTAACCAGAGAGATGCAACCGTGCTCTGCTGGAAAAAACAGCCAAACAAAGCCCCTGAGGAACATAAATACCCACTCAGGCAGTCAGACACAGCTCACGTTTCCCTTCAGCTCCTTCCACCAGGGGTCTGGAGAGAGGCAGCTTTGAAACAGAAGCCAAAACTCATCGCAGGTTCAGATGCAGGCAGTTCATTTCCCACACTGAGGTGTCTTGGGTTTTTTTTTCAGCATCTGCTGACAATGGCTCTTTCTTTAGGTGGAAATATTGTTGTAAGCTCTGTTACTGGAAGCTTGCTTCATCAGACAGGTATAGCACGAGTTTTGTTTTGGCTCAGCGTAACACCTTTGAAATGGAATAGCTGTGATCCCGTTGCATCCCCTGTCTCAGCGCACAGCAATCTTTCACACACTTTAGTGAAAGCTTTTCTTTTGTGCATAATTGACTGCACACAGTATATTCAGCACTTTTCGATGGCTTGACGCGTGTAATGCCTCCTTTTCTTGCCTGTCCTCTTACTAAACTCAATGGCACTGATTTTCAAATCTCTGTTTGTGCAGTCTTTGATGCATTTCCTGTGCTTTGTGATCGGTACACCAGTAATTTTTTGATTTTTCCCTTTCATTTCATGAAGGATTCAGGACAGGCCATTCCGCTTGTGGTAGAAAGCTGCATTCGTTACATCAATTTGTACGGTAAGTTGAGTCAGTAATATCAACAGAAACTCAGTGCAGAGGTAGTTAGCAGTGCAGTACAGTAGAGCTGCCCGCAGCCCTCACTGCATGGCTCAGGTCATGATTGCAGTGGCATTGTGATGTACTTACACACTGGATGACTGACGTTTTTAGGTCCTGTTAGCGCTTACTCAGGTTAAATTGTTCACTCAGGCCCACGGGAGCCCTTTGAGCGCTTTGGTCTGGGGGCGTTGATTGACGAATATGAGCAGAAATGGGTCGTAGCAGACTGTCCCTGTCTTCCTCTGAGCCTCCCTGGGTGCATCGACTGTTTTGGCTGTTCTTCACCAGGAAGTGCTGTGTAACACACAGAGCTTTTCTGAAAACGCTGTTCTCTTCCAGGCCTTCAGCAGCAGGGCATTTTCAGAGTCCCTGGCTCCCAGGTGGAAGTCAACGACATCAAGAACTCGTTTGAGAGAGGTGGGTTGCAGGGTGTGCACTGCCGCAGTGACGCCGTGGCCAAGCAGAGGTCGTTGGTTGGAGTTTTGGTGTGTGCCGGGGCATTAGATGTGGTGTAAAGCCTGTGCTAAAGCTGTTCCACTGCAAGAAATGAGGGGCTTTTATCCCCTTCTGGGTGTCTCAGTGTTGTCGCTCCAGCAGTAGTGGGGAGTTACTTCAGGAAAGAACTGAGACCCTTCCCACAGCCATTGATGGGGAGCACGAAAGCCTCAGATGGGAGCTGTAACATAGTTTGTGATCTGTTCTCAAGGAGCTTTCATCAGTTCCCAGGACAGTCAGAAAGTATCAGAACACTATTTCTGTGCTTGTTTTCCCTCTCCCCGAGGTCTGTCAAGGGAGCAGCAGCGTTGCCACGTGTGCCTGGTGGCAGTGTTGGTTGTGGAGTTGCCCGTGGTTATGATGAGAAAAGTGCATCGAAGGCGTGAGGCTGGCAGGACAGGGCAGAGCAGTCTGCTGTCACCGGGTGAAGGTGACGCTGCGAAAGGGACGGGCTAAATGGGGATAATGGCATTGATCTTCGAGCAGCAGCAGAAGCCTCAGGTTTGAAGGTGGCCAGGCCAATGAGTAAGGCAGCGGTGGGATTGTCAAAGGCTGGAGGATTTGCACATCCAATTTAAGAGGAATCAGTATCCAAATCCCTTGGGTTTTGAAAGCCTTTTATGGATTTAAGTCAGTGCAGTGCTACCCAGAGCTGTCTGGTCTATTCCAGAGCCGTAATTGCATCCTCCAGCCAAGCCTGTCTTCTCAGGCTCTCACCCACCATCGTTCAGATCTGCTCAGCTCTCTGAGCTGTGCCTTAAGTACAAAAATGCTCTGAGCTGGAAACTGAAGGAGAACTGATTAGTGACATCCTCATCTTCAGGAAAGGCTTAAAATGTCCACAATAAACTGGGTTTTTGTAGGTAGGGCTGCAGCGTGTCTCAGCACGATGCTATGTACCAGTACCTTATTAAACTCTCCTCTTGCTTACAAAATGCACAGTGTTGCTGTTGCACACATAGGAGCTTTTCTGGGCTGGGGGCATTTGGGTTTTCCACTGAGTTGGGAAAAACACTTGCAGTGTTAGTCCAGCTTGACAGCAGTAAATACAACCTCTGGAAATAAAAACCCCTTTTTCTTTGGGCAGGTGAAGATCCCCTCGCTGATGATCAGAACGAACGTGACATTAATTCAGTGGCTGGAGTCTTGAAGCTGTATTTCCGAGGACTGGAAAACCCCCTCTTTCCTAAGGAAAGGTTTCAAGATTTGATATCTACTATAAGTAAGTAAGAAACCATATCCCAGCTGGGCTTTATTTCTCTCAGAACCTCGCAGTGATGATATTTATTTGTTGGCAAGTTGTGGAAATTACTTCCCTGGGGCAGAGGCAGAAGGCGGAAGAATTTTATGTCTGGGAGATGGTGGAGGAGGTTGCAGGCTGTGGCTGCAGGATGACTTCACTTTACAGGAGGTCTTGGGTCTGGTGGGGGGTTGAGTGTGTCAGTACAGGGGTAGGTCCAGGGGGCGAATGTGCGCTGTCGTCCTTAGTTTGCCTTTGCTCGTGGCTCCTTCCCCCTTCTGAATGGCGTAACTGCAGAGATTTGGTGGTGTCAGGAACGACAGATGGTGTCTGGAGGGGAGCAGTGCAGGGATGGGCTTGTTCTGGGAAGAGAAGGATGCGCTCTGGTTTGTCAAGAGCAGTTGTACCAGGTGGCATTAGGCAGTTCGCTGTTCTGCCGTGTGAAGCCGTGCAGCTCACCTGTAACACAGCAAGCCGAGGAAGCTGCTTCTGCCCCAGTTTGGTGCCCCGGACAGGGATGTTCAGCCTGGTTTGCAGCGCTGGCTCGCGGGGCAGGCAGCAGGCAGAGCGCAGAGCCCGGGGGGACACAGCCGCAGAGGAGGGGTCCCTGCAGGTGCTGGGTGATGTGACTGTACTTGCAGACAGCCTTGTGCTTTGGAACCATCCCTAATTAGTGCCAGTCTGTGCAATTTCTAAGCTTTTTGGAGCTTTGTGTTGCAAACATCATCTGTTCATTTTCTGGATAATATTCTCTTCTCCATTTTTTCTCATTTTAGCAACAATCTTCTTTTCTTTTTTATTTTCTCTTTTTTCTTTTCCTGCTACTGTTGGTACCCTTTGATTAAGGCTAGATTTTAGATGAGTTAAAGTGTCTTGTTCCCATTAAAAACCTGACCTTAAAATGCATCTGACTTTCTGCAGTGTAAATGTAGGCTGTGTGGTTGTGTCCCAGCCTAAACAGATGGAGGAATCCTCCTTTCTGTGAGACGCCCCCTCGGTAAGCTGTGCCCCTTGCTGTAGGATTAAAGTTTATGTGGGAGCATTTCTCACACCCACATGAGAAGCAGACGGGTAGAGAAGGGACTCGGCGTGCGAAGGTTCGATCAGGGCTGTGCCTGTACTGTCAAGTGACTGATGAATTCCTCTGAATTGCAGCCAGTGGAAACATTTCTAAGGGAAAAAAGGCAATTTGTGCAGAAAGCAGCTGGTTTCTGATAGCAGCTTTGGAGGGAGGTGGATCTTGAAATGCTGCTGCCTTAGGGTCGGTTCAGGTTAAATTCCTGTTAAGGTGGGTGGGAAACCAGAGCAGAAGGGCTCAGGAGGACCTGGTGGTGACCCCATAGGAGTAATGGGAATAAAAACCTCATTTGAAAACCTGCGCTAGGAAACCCAGCAGTGCTCCATTTCCCAGTGCCATATTGACTCAGGCTTTTCAGGAATAGAGCAGTTGTTGGGGAATTAACTAAATAATGCATTAACAGATATTTTAAAAACAAAACCACAGAAATGTCCGTATCTGCAGTTTATGTGGAGTGTGAACGTACCAATGAATTCACCCATGGAAGAGCACTGTGCCCGATTCTCTGCTTGAGCCTTCGTGCCAAACCAGTGGATCAGATCTGGAGACGAGCTCTTGTTCTCCGTGCTGAGGGGGATTCTGGCTCAGGAGGAGGTCCCTCCGCTGCCATGGTGTCTGCTCCCGAGGATGTTCATGGTGTGCTCTCTGTCCCTGTGTTCCAGAAATCGAGAACCCCTCCGAGAGAGTGCACCAGATCCAGCAGATCGTCATCACTCTGCCTCGGGCCGTCATCGTAGTCATGAGATACCTTTTTGCTTTCCTCAATCAGTGAGTCTTCTTTCCCTCTTAGGCTGAGGTTCTCCTTGCCCTCCTTTGTTTCAGGGCTTCCCTGTCTTGGTTGTGTGGGTACCTTTTGGTGTTGCCGTAGAGAGCTGTATTTTGCTGCTTCCTCAGCCTTGCCCCCCCGTGGCCGGGTGTTTGGGGTGATGTATGGCTCGGTGACGATTGCTGTTTTGGGCAGTGAGGCTTGGCTGGTGGGAGATTTTTCTGAGCAAACCGAGAAGGTCGGTACCGCAGCGCCCTAACGCTTGTGCTTGCAGCTTGTCGCAGTACAGCGATGAGAACATGATGGATCCCTACAACCTGGCCATCTGCTTTGGGCCCACGCTGATGCACATTCCAGACGGGCAGGATCCGGTGTCCTGCCAGGCCCATGTCAACGAGGTCATCAAAACCATCATCATTCACCACGAGGGCATCTTCCCCAGCCACAGAGAGCTGGAAGGACCCGTCTATGAGAAGTGCATGACCGGCGGGGAGGAGTACTGGTAAGGAGCGGGACAGGACTGCGTTGTTTGCAGGACTTACAGCCCCATCCCCTGATTTGGGTTATCACAGGGAACCTGTGACAACATGCAGAGCTTTGACTCAGTTCCTGGCAGACAGAGAGTGGATCCCAGCTCATTTGAGTGTACGATGAGGGACCTCGGGAGCAGATCCCCAGAGGATGGGCTGTGAGGAGAGCTTTGAGGGAGTTCAGACTGAATGTGCAGTGCAGCAAGCACAGCGCTGGGCTGAGTTTGCCCCTCTGCAGAAGGACCATGCCTTTTGGCCTTTATTCCTGCTAAACGTTGTGAATTAGGTGTGCAAGTGATGCACATTTGATCTGCTTGTGCTGTTTTACACTGGTTAAGAACCTTACTCCATAACAGGCTGTCTGCATGGTTCTTAGTTATAAATGCCTTCATAAAACTAAGAGGATTATGCACACCTAACGAATGAGTCTCTACTTATATACGTCAGTTTTGCTTTTGATTTCAGCCTTGCTGGTTAAAACGCAGTAGTTCACTGAGTATTTCTTTTTCTCTTGCTGACTCAGCATTATAAACCTCAGTAAAAACTTCAGGAGAAACGTTTTTCCAGTGTGAACATTAATATTTATGAAGATTCTTTTAGCTGCAGATTCATAGAAGTGTGTTCAGAGCAAAACAGAATTTTAGGTCAGTAATTTCCCTCGACAGCTTGCTTTTGCTGAGCGCCTTAGGAGCAGTCTCGCCCGCTCTTTGAGAGCATGGTGTGTTGTCTTTCAGCGACAGCCCGCACAGCGAGCCAGGCACCATCGATGAGGTCGACCACGACAACGGCACGGAGCCGCACACCAGCGATGACGGTGAGTGCAGCCGAGAGTGCGGAGCGCTGGGTCTGTGTTGGAGCTGTGTGTGCAGGGAAGCAGCCTGCACACCACTCCTGACTAGAACAGGAGCTGGGCTGGTGTCCGGCTCTTCAGTGCGGGACGGTGGTGTTGTGTGCTTAGTAACGAACACGCACATTAATGAAAGCTGTATTGAATTTTCACCATAGGGTGAGCACAGACCTTGGCAGGGGTCTGCTTCCATGGCAGGATACAGAGCCTGGTTTTTTGGAGCTGTTCTGAGATCCCGTGAATCCCATGTGTGACTTTTTTCCTTCCTGTCACCTGTGCTCACGCACAGCCACACAGTGTGAAGTGGCTCACGAGAACAGGAGGAGGGGAGATGGGGATGGACGTGGGGGACGCTAGCTCTGATCGCTTCAGGCCCTTGGCCACACAGTGAGCATCAGTGGCATTGTTGGGGCCCTGTGAAATGGGAGTCCAAGAGCTGATTTCATTAGGCTATGGCTCATCCTTGGCAGGAGCTGACTGCCCCTGCATTCGAGCAAGCTGCAGCCTGGTTTCTCCTTCGGTGACAAAACAGCGCCCGCTTGTTTCTGCTGGCGCCAGGCCCTTCGGAAGGTGAAGCAGGACGCGTTGTGAGCCAGGACCCTACGCATGGGTGCAGCTGGGTGTGAGTGCCTTGCACCCGGGTACATCGTCAATGTGTCCTGCCCCGGCGACGTGCGGGCGCCCCTGTGGCTGGTGTGCACCGGAGAGGAGGGGAAGGACACAGCTGGGCCTGGCGGTCAGGACCCGCTGTCAGCTGTGAACAGGAGCCGCAGGACTGGGGATGGAGGAGAGCAAGCTGCCATTTACCCAATTTTACGCTCAGATGATCACATTAATAGCTCTGATCGGAGTTTCTGGGTGATTTACTGTGGTGCAAGCATAGAGAAGAGGAGCAGCTTTATTTCATGAATTTACATTCAGCCGGGGGTGCAAAGGCTCCTGCTGTGCTCATGACCACCCCAAGTGCAGTCCTGCCTCAGCCCTCTGGAATTTCAGGGTCCACACTCCCAAACTGTGAGGCCCTGGTGTTTGGTAGAGCTTGAATTTAAATACGTGGAGAAGTGGTGGAGTGCAGGCAGGTCTGCAGGTGTGGGGGTGCTGCAGAGCAGCTGCCTCCTGGCGCCGCTATCACCGTTTCTGTGGGGATCCCCAAAGGGGGATTCGTTACTCATGAATAATTCAGGGCAAACTGTCTCCAGGATAAGGAAGGGGAGGGGAGGTAAGCGGGGCTTTGATGATTGAGTCTGACACAGCTTGATGAGATCCCAGTCTGGAGGATAATGGGGTCCTGTAACCGAAGAAGTCACTTTATAGGTAGAAAATGGGAGTGTGGGTGACGATACCGAATGCTCACAGGGAGATTTCAGCTCCTCCCCATCTGGTTTGTAGCTTTTTGTAATTGCTGGTAGTTTGTGAGTTTGAGAAACTCCAGGAAGGCTGGAAGAACAAGAAGAATTGATCAGTCTGAAAATGAGGTGGTTTGTACTCAGTGTGAGATGCTCTGGGGAAGCTCAGGCAGCAGAACTGGTGCTGCTGTGTTGAGATGCCTCTCGCCAGGATTGGCTGTGCTCTTGTGCTTGTTGAACTCAGCTTTTCTCTGTCTGTGCTTCTCTCCTTTGCAGAAGTGGAGCAGATTGAAGCAATAGCAAAGTTTGACTACATCGGGCGGTCTCCGCGAGAGCTCTCCTTCAAGAAAGGGGCCTCACTCCTCTTGTACCACCGGGCCTCGGAAGACTGGTGGGAAGGGAGGCACAATGGTGTGGATGGCCTCATACCCCACCAGTACATTGTGGTACAAGACATGTGAGTAGTGGCGTGTGATGACCCAGGATGTTAAAATCACAGAATTACACAAAGTCCATCTTCAGCCACCTAAAGTGGCCAGATTTTCCTTGGCTTAAAGACTCTACTGAGAAATCCGCATGTGTTCACATGGACCTCTCCATTGGCTCAGATTGTTTCTCATTCAAGCTGCTAAAGCCAAGCACTAAATAGTGCAGTGTGCCTGAACCCCGTCCGTCATTGACTCCCCAGAGCGGTGTGACCCAGGCTTAGCACTGGCCTGGACCGTGAGTGCGTTGACCGGGCGTTGTTCAGTGCCGCTGCAGGGAGACCCTGGGCTCCTTCAGGCGCCACTGCTGCTGCGGATGCTGCACCCGGATTCATTGCAATGGCAGCTGCAGCGCAGGGGGGTATGGAGGGGTGATGTTTTTCCGAGCTCTGGGCACTGTCTGAGGTGGTGGTCTTGGTGCCCCCTTTGTTAGCAAGGTCTGGAGCCGCTGGAGCGGTGCGGTTCAGATCTGCGCAGCCTCATTACTGACAGGGTCTCTTCTCTGCAGGGATGATGCCTTCTCCGACAGCCTGAGTCAGAAGGCAGACAGCGAGGCAAGCAGCGGCCCGCTGCTGGATGACAAAGCCTCCTCCAAAAACGACATCCAGTCCCCGACGGATCATATCGTGGACTACGGCTTTGGGGGAGTAATGGGCCGGTAAGGAGACGCGCGTTTTCCTGTGAACGCAGAGGCAGTCGCTGTCACGTGTGGGGAGAGTCCGTGTGTGGTGCAGGGCGAGACAGAAGGGAAGGCTCCAGTAAGCCCTGGAATAACGGGAGCATGGAGGGGGTTTTGTGTGCGTTGCTAACACAGATGTTATCGTGTGCAGACAGTGCAATGCTGTCCCTTTCCTGGCACTGGCTGAAATGTCTGTCTTCCCTCTTGCCTGAGTCCTCTGGAATTTGGTTTGATCTGATCTCAGAGCTGAGCAGTTGCCTTGCAGCATGCAGCCAGTCCTTTTGATCTGCCAGTGACCCAGTCTTGTGATGGATTCTTTGCAGAGTGAGGCTGAGGTCTGACGGCGCAGCTATCCCTCGCCGTCGCAGCGGGGGGGACACCCACAGCCCGCCCCGAGGGATGGGTCCTGGCATGGACACTCCTCCTCGAGCAGCGGCCTGCCCTAGCAGCCCCCACAAAATACCCCTTAACAGGGGCAGGATTGAGAGTCCCGAAAAGCGCAGAATGGCGACATTCGGCAGTGCAGGCAGCATCAATTTCCCAGACAGGAAGGCCTTGTCCGATGGGCACCCGCTGAGACCGACCTGTGGATCGACCAGACACAGTAGTCTCGGGGACCAGAAATCCCTAGAGGCAGAAGCGCTTGCTGAGGTAAGAGGGGTGTGCAGTGGCTCTCGGTCCCCGGGGCTTGAGCGGCTGCAGTAACTAAAAGTTGCTGGGGCAGCGCTGCGGAGCCCCTGCCATCTCAACACACCAAGAACTGCAGTGCTGTTGGAGCTGCCACAGTTACAGATGAAAGTGAGCAGCCAACAGCCTGCCTGCTTGGCCCAATAGAAGATGCTGCCTCCTTCCCCAAACCTTGTTTCTTTGAAACAATGGACAGAAGTGTCTGATCCACCACCAAAATGTGCTGGCAGCTCTTAGCTCCCATGGGAGGGAGGTGCATTATCTTTGTCTGATGCTTCGGAAGGAGCTTAGGAGGACAAAGGTGGATTTGCCAAAGCAGAATTTCACTTGATGTTCAAAGTGCTTCAGGGTTGTTACTGGCTGTTCATAGCTAGGACTCCAGAACGTTAGCGCAGTCCCAGTATGTTCAGCGTCCCCTGTTTCAGCAGTTTCCGGTGGTTTCCCTCAACATGTCGGGTCCGCTGCCTTCAGCGGGATAATCAGTGGTGACTGCAGAAGGGAAGAGCTCTCGCTGTGCTGTCTGCCTTTCCACCAGCCACGCTCCTGTCCTCTCGCTCTGCAGCTGCCCAGCTTCTCTGTCCGTCCGCAGCTTGCGCCTGCTGTCATCAGCTTGCAAAGCTGCGGTGGTAGCGCAGCGGTGCCCCGGGTGATGGCTCGAGCTGGGCACCACGTCCACCTTGGGACGGGGTAACCACGCACACGAGGCCCCAGGCTGGGCTGGGGGGCACCTGCGGTGCCCAGGGACACGGCCCCCAGTGCAGGGCAGGGCTGGGGGTGCAGGAGCCTCTAGAGGGACAGGTGAACACTGGGGATGGAGCACCATGTGCACAATTGTCTTGGCTTCTGGGGGTTTGGTTTTTAAACCTCGGAGAAGATTCTGGCCTGGCTGATGTAAATAATACTTACCCTGAAGCCCGTGGGACTGCTGGGCTTGGTAGTCCTGGGGCTTAGCTCTGGGAGAATATTTTCACTCATGATCTGAACAGCTCAACAGAATCAACTGGAACTAAGTTGAGAATTATTTCCCTTTTGCTGATCCTCTGAACGTTATCTGAGGCTCACCGAGCATTTTGAACGTTGTAAAGTGAAGGACTCATCTACCCAAGGATAGCGAGGAGCATTAACCAGAGCTACTTTTGAAATGCTTGGTTCAGCTGCCTTACACCCCTTTTCAGATGGTCTCTTTGTGAGTTAAAGTGGCCTTAATTCAGTTAAGGGGGATTTAAGTTAAGCCAGACTAGGGCCTATCTCTGAAGGAGCTGATCAGCCCTATGGTTGTAGGCGATTTAGCTGATTTCCTTGAAATGGGCACTTGAGTGAACTGGGTTCACCCCCTGGAGGATCTCGTGGGACAGACCGATGGCTGCTCACCTCAGCTGCCTCCCCACGTGTGGGGAGAGCCCTTGTTGCTGCCTCTCTTTTATTTATGGAGAGCTGCCATCGTCTCGTGGGAGACACGGACAGGGTGGTGCTGACCCCATCACTCGTGGTGCTCAGGTTTTGCTCCCTTCGGAGCCGGTGCCCAAACTCCTGCTGACCCTCAGAGACACTGAGCACCTTTGAGTGGCCAGAGTTTGGGCTTCACATCTTCTCCTGAAGCTCCTGCTTCGGCTGGAGGCCCCATCTTAGGTCAGAGACACCCCCAGACACGTGGCAGGGCAGGGGTCTCTCCACAGGGTGGGGTGCAGCAGACCGGGGTGATGCTGTGGCACGGTGCTGACAACCCTCTGACGTTCGCAGGACATCGAGAAGACCATGAGCACGGCGCTGAACGAGCTGCGGGAGCTGGAGAGGCAGAACACAGCCAAGCAGGCCCCCGACGTGGTCCTGGACACGCTGGAGCCCATGAAGAACCCCCCGATGGGCGCCGCCAACTCGGAACCCGCCAGCCCCCTTCACACCATCCTGATCCGGGACCCCGATGCCGCCATGCGGCGCAGCAGCAGCTCCACCACAGAGATGATGACCACCTTCAAGCCTGCCCTGTC